CCCCCCCCCCTCCCAAAAAATGAGGGAATTCACACAAATTAAACTAAGAAATCGATCATTTATTATCAATACATTGATTACTTACTATAAATAAATACAGGGGGAGGGGCAGGAAAAGGGGGCGGGGCTCCTGCACCTCCCCTCCCCCTCCCTAAAAGGGTTGGGGGGGGGGGGGGTTGAACCCCCCCCGGGGCCCCCCTTTGGGGGGAGGGGCTTCAAACCCCCCCGGGGACCCTCCAGGCTCTGCCCGGGGGGGGGTTGGGGCTTCATCACCCCAAATAAATAAATGTTGAGGGGTTCCATCCCCCAAATCCCCCAAAAATCCCCCAAAATCCTCCAAAATCCCCCAAATTCCCCCAAAATCCCCCCCAAACCCCAACCCCAAGGGTCTCGCCCGGCTCCTGGCGCGTCCCGCGCGCCGGAGCAAACTGGGAGCTACTGGGAGCTACTGGGAACCAGTCCCGATTCTCACGTGGGTTTGGGGGTCTCTTTTGGGGTTTGGGGGGTCTCCTGGTCCAGGTCGAGGTCCCCTCATTTGGGTCGGGGTCTTCTGGTCCATGTTGGGGTGTCCTGGTTGGGGTTGGGGTCTTCTGGTCTGGATTGGGGTCCCCTGGTTAGGCTCGATGTCCCCTCATTGGGGCTGGGGTCTCCCGATCCATGTTGGGGTCTCCTGATCCAGGTGGATGTCCCTTCATTGGGGTCGGGGTCCCCTCATTGGAGTCAGGGTCTCCTCATTGTGGTCGGGGTCCCCTTATTGGGGTTGGGGTCCCCTCACTTGGGTCGGGGTCCCCTCACTTGGGTCGGGGTCTCCTGTAACCCCAGCCCCAGGGGAGTAACCCCTCAGAGTTTTCTGGTCCATGTTGGGGTCTCCTGGTTGGGGCCGGGGTCTCCTGGTCCAGGTCAATGTCCCCTCATTGGGGTCGATGTCCCCTCATTGGGGTTGGGGTCTCCTCGTTGGGGTCGGTGTCTCCTCGTTGGAGTTGGGGTCTCCTCGTTGGGGTTATGGTCTCCTGGTCCATGTTGGGGTCTCCTGGTAGGGGTTGGGGTCTCCTGGTCCAGGTCGATGTCCCCTCATTGTGGTCGATGTCCCCTCATTGTGGTCAGGGTCCCCTCGTTGTGTTTGGGGGTCTCCTCGCTGGGTCAATGTCCCCTCATTTGGGTTGGGGTCTCCTCATTGGGGTCAATGTCCCCTCGTTGGGGTTGGGGTCCCCTCGTTGGGGTCAATGTCCCCTCATTTGGGTTGGGGTCTCCTCATTAGGGTCAATGTCCCCTCATCGTGGTCGGGGTCCCCTCATTGTGGTCGGGGTCTCCTCGCTTGGGTCGGGGTCTCCTCGCGGCGCTCCAGGAGGTCCCACGGGGGGGTCACAGGTCAGGGATGACCCTCGGCCTCGGGGTCCTCAGCTGGGGGAGGGAACAGGGTCAGAAGGGGGTCCTGGAAGGGGTGTGGGGTCTTTCTGGGGTCCTGGCAGGGGATTTGGGGTCTCTTTAGGGTCCTTGAAGGGCATTTAGGTTCCTTAAGGGTCCTGGAAGAGGGTTTGGGATCCCTTTTGGGTCCTGGAAGAGGGTTTGGGGTCCCTCTAGGGTTCTGGAAGGAGATTTAGGTCTTTTTTGGGTCCTGGAAGGGGATTTGGGGTCCCTTTAGTGTCCTGGCAGGGGGTTTAGGTTCCTTTTGGGTCCTGGAAGAGGGTTTGGGATCCCTTTTGGGTCCTGGAAGAGGGTTTGGGGTCTCTTTTAGGTCCTGGAAGGGGGTTTGGGATCTTTAGGGTCCCTTTTGGGTCCTGGCAGGGGATTTAGGTTCCTTTTGGGTCCTGGAAGAGGGCTTGGGGAATCTTTTGGGTCCTGGAAGGGGATTTAGGGTTCCTTTAGGGTCCTGGAAGGATATTTAGGTCCCTCTAGGGTCCTGGAGGGGGGTTGGGGTCCCTTTAGGGTCCTGGAAGGAGATTTAGGTCCCTTTAAAGTCCTGAAAAGGGATTTAGGGTCATTTTAGGGTCCTGGCAGGGGTGTAAGTACCTGGAGGAAAGGATCCACCCGCTCCAAGGACGGCCTGAAGGCGCTGGGACCCCCCAGATCCCCCCAGGGGGGTCCCGGGGGTCTTCTCCAGGTCTCGGGGTCCTCAAATTGGGTCTGGGGGTGGCGGTGGGGGGCGACCCCCGGGTTGGGGATGACAGCCCCGCGCGGGGGGGGCCAGGTGAAATCGTCCAGCTCGTACCAGGAGCCCCCAAAATAGGGGGGGAGGTCACTGGGGGGGGGGGAAACGGGGTGAGAACTGGGAGACACCCCCCGAACTGGGAATCCAAACTGGGAGACCCCCCCAAACTGGGAATCCAAACTGGGAGACCCCCCCCAAAGTGGGAATCCAAACGGGGAGATCCCTCCGCCAAAATCCAAACTGGGAGACCCTCTTCCCAAACCAGGGATTCAAACTGGGAAACCCCCCCCCCCCCCCCCAAAATGGGAAACTAGAGTGGGACAGCCCCCCCAGCCTGGGAATCCAGACTGGGAGACCCCTCCCAAGGCAGAAGCTGAACTGGGAACCCCCCCAGAATGGGGAATCCAAACTGGGAAACTCCCGCCAAATGGGTAACCTGAACTGGGAACCCCCCCAGAACGGGGAATCCAAACTGGGAAACTCCCCCCAGATGAGGAACCCAAACTGGGAACCCCCGCCCAAAGCAGAACCCAAACTGGGAGACCCCTCCCAAATGAGGAACCCAAACTGGGAAACCCTTCCCAAGGCAGAATCTGAACTGGGAGCCACCTCCCAAAATGGGAAACCCAAACTGGGAGCTCCCTCCCAAGGCACAATTTGAACTGGGAGACTCCTCCCCAGGCAAATCCTGAACTGGGAGACCCCCCCAGACTGGGAACCCAAACTGGGAGCCCCCCCAAGGCAGAACCCAAACTGGGAGCCCCCCACAAATGAGGAACCCAAAGTAGGAGCCCCCCACAAATGAGGAACCCAAACTGGGAGACCCCTCCCAAGGAAGATCCTGAACTGGGAGACCCCCCCAAACTGGGAACCCAAATTGGGAGCCCCCCCAAGGCAGAACCCAAATTGGGAGCCCCCTCAATGCAGAACCCAAACTGGGACCACCCCCCCAAACTGGGAATCCAGACTGGAAGCCCCCCCCAAATGGGAAACCCAAACTGGGCGATCCCTCCCAAAATGGGAAACCCAAACTGGGAGACCCCTCCCAAGGCAGAACCCAAACTGGGAGCCCCGTCCCTAAAGCAGAACCCAAACTGGGAGCCCCCCGGCGAGGAGCCCAGCCCCGGGCCGGTACCTCCGGTAGCGCCGGTGCCGGCGGCAGAGCAGCACCACGACGAGGATGAGGCAGATGAGGAAGAGCAGGGCCACGGCCACGCCCAGCCCCGTGTCCACCTTGCTGACCCGGCCCGAGCACTGTGCCCCCGTGTACCAGTACAGCTCCTCGTCGGGGCAGCTGGGGAGGGGACACGGCTCACACCCCGCTGTCACCCCCACAGGCACCCGCGGGACCACCGGGGTGGGCAGAGAGCCCTCGGTGGCACCAGGGGACACCGCGGCACGGGTGGGGACACCCAGTGGGTGTTGGGATCCCCCAATGGGTGTTGGGACACCCCAATGGCTGTTGGGACCCCATCATGGACATTGAGTCCTCATGATGGGTTTTGGGACCCCGTGGTGGACATTGGGACCCCCCAGTGGATGTTGGGACCTCCCAAAGGGTTTTGGGACCCCATGGTGGACATTGGGACCCCACAGTGGATCTTGGGACACCATGGTGGACATTGGAACACCGTGGTGGACTTTGGGACCTCCCAATGGGTGTTGGGACCTCCCAAAGGGTTTTGGGACCCCCATGGTGGACGTAGAGACACTATGGTGGACATTGGGACCCCCCAGTCACTGTTGGGACACCATGATGGACATTGGGACACCATTATGGGTTTTAGGACCCCATGGTGGACATTGGGACCCCGTAATGGGTGTTGGGATCCCCTAATGGGCATTGGGATCCCCCAATGGGTGTTGGGATCCCCCAATGGGTGTTGGGGCCCCGTGGTGGATGTTGGGACCCCATGAGGGGTGTTAGGACCCCATGGTGGATGTTGGGACCTCATGGTGGGTTTTGGCACCCCGTGGTGGACATTGGGACCCCATGATGGGTTCTAGGACTCCATAGTGGGTTCTAGGACCCCGTGGTGGCACTCACAAGCAGCGGGGTCCCTGGCGGGTGACCTGGCAGCGGCCGTGGTGGCAGTCCAGGCTCTGGGGCCGGTTGGGGGTGCAGGAGGTGACGCAGTGCAGGACCCCCGAGGTCAGCACCGGCCAGAAGAAGTCACCGTAGCCGGGGGGGGCTCGCTGGTGGCACAGCTCTGCACGGGGGGGGACAACAAGGGGACATTGCAGGGTGGGTGAGGGGTGGGGGCCAGGAGGTGTTGGGTGGGTAGGGCGTCCATGGGGTGGTCAGGAGGGTCTGTGGGATGGTACCCCCAAGGTGACCAGAACCCCCTAGAAGACCAGGCCCCCCAAGAAGACCAAGACCCCCAAAAATACCAGACCCACCAAGAAGACCAGGACTCCCAAAGACACCAGGACCCCCAAGAAGATCAGGCCCCCAAGATGACCAGGACCCCCAAGGTGCCCAGAACCCCCAAGGTGACCAGAACCCCCAAAGACCAGAAGATCAGGACCACCAAGAAAACCAAGACCCCAAAAACACCAGAACCCCCAAAACCACGTGGACCCCCAAGAAGCCCCAGACCCTTGAGAAGCCCCGGACCCCCGCCCAGGTGCCCCAGGTGCGGGGTGGCACCACCACTCACCCAAGTTGGTCTCCACGGTGTCGGTGGAGAACTCGCAGCGCGGACCGGCGTAGGACGGGGTGCAGAGACAGCCGGTGACGCCGGGGGTCCCCCCGTTCTCACAGAGCCCTGGGGGGGACACGGGGGGACATCAGGGACACGCCGGGTCACGGGGACACCCCAGGTGAGGGGCAAGGTCACCTGGGGAGGGCTCACCTGAAGGAGGAGCGGCGGTGGTCCAAGAGGAAGTGGTGGTGGGGGGCACCAGGGTGGTCATGGAGGTGGCCAAGGTGGTTGTGGGGGTTGGCACCACCTGGGTGGTCGTGGTGGTCAGTTTGGTGGTCGTGGGTGTGGTGAGGGTCACCTGGGTGGTCGTGGTGGTCCCTGGGGTGGTTGTGGTGGTCCCTGACGTGGTGGTGGAGGTCCCTGGGATGGTGGTGGTGGTCCCTGACGTGGTGGTGGAGGTCCCTGGGATGGTGGTGGTGGTCTCTGAGGGGGTTGTGGTCGTCTTAGAGGTGGTCGTGGTGGTCCCTGTGCTGGTTGGGGTGGTCGCTGTGGTGGTTGGGGTGGTCCCTGAGGTGCTTGTGGTGGTCTCTGAGGTGGTTGGGAAGGTCCCAGTGGTGGTCGGGGTGGTCCCTGAGGTGGTCGTGGTGGTTCCTGAGGAGGTTGGGATGGGTGCTGATGTGGTCGTGGAGGTCCCTGAGGTGGTCGGGGTGATTCCTGATGTGGCTGAGGTGGTCCAAGAGGTGGTTGGGGTGGTCCCTGGGGGGGTGGTGGTCCCTGAGGTGGCCCCTGAGGTGGTGGGGGTGGTCCCTGTGGGGGTCGTGGGTGTCCCTGAGGTGGTCGTGGAGGTCTCTGAGGTGGTCAGGGTGGTCCCTGAGGTAGTCGTTGATGTGGCCGAGGTGGTCCCTGGGATGGTCGTGGAGGTCTCTGTGCTGGTCGTGGTGGTTCCTGATGTGGCTGAGGTGGTTCCTGAGGTGGTCGGGGTGGTCTCTGTCGTAGTCGTGGATGTCCATGCGGTGGTCGCGGAGGTCCCTGAGCTGGTTATGGAGGTCGCTGAGGTGGTCGTGGGGGTCTCTGAGGTGGTCAGGGTGGTCCCTGAGGTTGTTGGGAAGGTTCCAGTGATGGTTGGGGTGGTCCCTGTCGTGGTCGTGGAGGTCCCTGAGGTGTTTATGGAGGTCCCTGAGGTGGTCGTGGGGGTCTCTGTGGTGGTCGGGGTGGTCCATGTGGTCGTCAGGATGGTCCCTGTGGTGGGTGTGGAGGTCCCTAAGGTGGTCGTGGAGGTCCCTGAGGTGGTTGGGGTGATTCCTGATGTGGCTGAGGTGGTCCAAGAGGTGGTTGGGGTGGTCCCTGGGGTGGTGGTGGTGGTCCCTGAGGTTGTTGGGAAGGTCCCAGTGGTGGGTGGAGTGGTCTCTGAGGTGCTCGTGGGTGTCCCTGAGGTGGTCGTGGTGGTCCCTGAGGAGGTTGGGGTGGTCTCTGATGGGGCTGTGATGGTCACTGAGGGGGTGGATGTCCCTGAGGTGGTCGGTAGAAGACCAAGACCCCCAAAAATACCAGACCCACCAAGAAGACCAGGACTCCCAAAGACACCAGGACCCCCAAGAAGATCAGGCCCCCAAGATGACCAGGACCCCCAAGGTGCCCAGAACCCCCAAGGTGACCAGAACCCCCAAAGACCAGAAGATCAGGACCACCAAGAAATGGTGGTGGTGGTCCCTGAGGTTGTTGGGAAGGTCCCAGTGGTGGGTGGAGTGGTCTCTGAGGTGCTCGTGGGTGTCCCTGAGGTGGTCGTGGTGGTCCCTGAGGAGGTTGGGGTGGTCTCTGATGGGGCTGTGATGGTCACTGAGGGGGTGGATGTCCCTGAGGTGGTCGGAGTGGTCCCTGTGGTGGTGGTGGTCCCTGAGGTGGCCCCTGAGGTGGTCATGGGGGTCTCTGAGGTGGTCGGGGTGGTCCCTGTGGTGGGTGTGGAGGTCCCTAAGGTGGTCGTGGAGGTCCCTGAGGTGGTTGGGGTGATTCCTGATGTGGCTGAGGTGGTCCATGAGGTGGTTGGGGTGGTCCCTGGGATGGTCGTGGATGTCCATGTGGTGGTCGTGGAGGTCGCTGAGGTGGTCGTGGTGGTCTCTGAGGTGGTCGGAGTGGTCCCTGGGGTGGTGGTGGTGGTCCCTGAGGTTGTTGGGAAGGTCCCAGTGGTAGGTGGAGTGGTCCCTGAGGTGGTCAGGGTGGTCCCTGTCGTGGTCGTGGAGGTCCCTGAGGTGGTTATGGAGGTCCCTGAGGTGGTCATGGGGGTCTCTGAGGTGGTCGGGGTGGTCCATGTGGTCGTCAGGGTGGTCCCTGTGGTGGGTGTGGAGGTCACTAAGGTGGTCGTGGTGGTCCCTGAGGAGGTTGGTGTGGGCGCTGATGTGGTCGTGGTGGACTCTGGGGTGGTCGGGGTGGTCTCTGGGGTGGTCGTGGTGGTCCCTGGGATGGTGGAGGTGGTCCCTGAGGTGGTCGTGGAGGTCCCTGTGGTTGTGGAGGTCACTGAGGAGGTTGGGAAGGTCCCAGTGGTGGTTGGAGTGGCCTGTGTGGTGGTCGTGGAGGTCTCTGGGGTGCTCGTGGTGGTCCCTGAGGTCGTGGTGATCCCAGAGGAGGTCGGGGTGGTCTCTGATGTGGTTGTGATGGTCACTGCGGTGGTTGGGGTGGTCCCTGGGCTGTTTGTGGTGGTCCCTGAGGTTGTGGAGGTCCCTGAGGTGGGTGTGGAGGTGTCTGGGGTGCTTGTGGTGGTCGCTGGGATGCTCGTGGTGGTCCCTGAGGTCGTGGAGGTCCCAGTGGTGGTTGGAGTGGACTGTGGGGTGATCGTGGAGGTCCCAGTGGTGGTCGTGGCGGTTCCTGGGTGGGTCATGGTGGTCCCTGAGGTTGCAGTGGACATTGAGGTGGTCGGGGTAGTCCCTGTGGTGGGCGTGGTGGTCCCTGAGGTTGTGGAGGTCACTGAGGTGGTCGTGGAGGTGTCTGGGATGCTCGTGGTGGTCCCAGAGGAGGTTGGTGTGGTCACTGAGGTGGTGGAGGGCGTTCCTGAGGTGGTCGTGGTGGTCCCTGGGGTCATTGTGGTGATCCCAGAGGAGGTCGTGGTGGTCTCTGACATGGTTGTGATGGTCCCTGAGGTGGTTGGGGTGGTCCCTGGGGTGGTCATGGTGGTCCCGGAGGTCGTGGTGGTCCCTGAGGTGGTTGGGAAGGTCCCAGTGGTGGTTGGAGTGGCCCCTGGGGTGGTGGTGGAGGTCTCTGTGTTGCTCGTGGTGGTTCCTGATGTGGCTGAGGTGGTCCCTGAAGAGGTTGGTGTGGTCACTGAGGTGGTGGTGGGCGTTCCTGATGTGGTTGGGGTGGTGCCTGAGGTGGTCGTGGAGGTGTCTGGGATGCTCGTGGTGGTCCCTGGGGTCATTGTGGTGATCCCAGAGGAGGTCGTGGTGGTCTCTGACATGGTTGTGATGGTCCCTGAGGTGGTTGGGCTAAGGTGGTCGTGGTGGTCCCTGGGGTGGTAGGGGTGATCCCAGAGGAGGTCGTGGTGGTCTCTGACATGGTTGTGATGGTCCCTGAGGTGGTTGGGCTAAGGTGGTCGTGGTGGTCCCTGGGGTGGTTGGGGTGATCCCAGAGGAGGTCGGGGTGGTCTCTGACGTGGTCGTGATGGACACTGAGGAGGTTGGGGTGGTCCCTGGGGTGTTTGTGGTGGTCCCTGAGGTTGTGGAGGTCCCTGAGGTGGTCGTGGAGGTGTCTGGGATGCTTGTGGTGGTCCCAGAGGAGGTTGGTGTGGTCACTGAGGTGGTGGAGGGCGTTCCTGATGTGGTCGGGGTTGTCCCTGAGGTGGTCAGGGTGGTCTCTGGGATGGGCATGGTGGTCCCTGAGGCAGTTGTGGTGGTCACTGGGGTGGTTGTGGAGGTGTCTGGGGTGCTCGTGGTGGTCCCTGGGATGGTCGTGGTGGTCCCTGAGGAGGTTGATGGGGTCTCTGATGTGGTTGTGGGGGTCACTGAGGTGGTGGTGGAGGTCTCTGTGCTGGTCGTGGTGGTCCCTGATGTGGCTGAGGTGGTCCCTGGGGTGCTTGTGGTGGTCCCTGGGGTGGTGGTGGTGATCCCAGAGGAGGTCGGGGTGGTCTCTGATGTGGCTGAGGTGGTCCCTGAGGAGGTTGGGGTGGTCTCTGGGCTGCTTGTGGTGGAGGTCACTGAGGTGGTCGTGGAGGTGTCTGGGATGCTCGTGGTGGTCCCAGAGGAGGTTGGGGTGGTCACTGAGGTGGGGGAGGGCGTTCCTGAGGTGGGCGTGGTGGTCCCTGGGGTCGTTGTGGTGATCCCAGAGGAGGTCGGGGTGGTCTCTGATGTGGCTGAGGTGGTCCCTGGGGTGCTTGTGGTGGTCCCTGGGGTGGTAGTGGTGATCCCAGAGGAGGTCGGGGTGGTCTCTGATGTGGCTGAGGTGGTCCCTGGGGTGCTTGTGGTGGTCCCTGGGGTGGTAGTGGTGATCCCAGAGGAGGTCGGGGTGGGCCCTGTGGTGGGCGTGGAGGTGTCTGGGGAACTCGTGGTGGTCCCTGAGGAGGTTGGTGTGGTCTCTGATGTGGTCGTGGACGTCGCTGAGGGTGTCGAGGTCTCTGGGATGGTCGTGGTGGTCGCTGAGGTGGTTGGAGTGGCCCCTGAGGTCGTGGTGGTCCCATAGGAGGTCGGGGTGGTCTCTGATGTGGTTGTGATGGACACTGAGGAGGTCGGGGTGGTCTCTGGGCTGTTTATAGTGGTCCCTGAGGTTGTGGAGGTCCCTGAGGTGGTCGTGGAGGTGTCTGGGATGCTCGTGGTGGTCCCAGAGGTGGTGGTGGACACTGAGGAGGTCGGGTTGGTCCCTGTGGTGGGCGTGGAGGTGTCTGAGGTGCTGGGGGTGGTCCCTGAGGTGCTCGTGGTGGTCCCTGAGGTGGTTGGGAAGGTCCCAGTGGTGGTCGGAGTGGCCTGTGGGGTGGTCGTGGAGGTCTCTGTGTTGGTCGTGGAGGTTCCTGGGGTGGTCAGGGTGGTCCCTGAGGTTGTGGTGGACACTGAGGAGGTCGGGGTGGTCCCTGTGGTGGGCGTGGAAGTCCCTGTGGTCGTGGAGGTCACTGAGGAGGTTGGGGTGACCCCTGAGGTGGTTAGAGTGGCTTCTGAGGTGGCTGTGGCAGTCTCTGAGGTGGTTGTGGTGGTCCCTGAGGTTGTTGAGGTCCCTGTGGTGGGCGTGGAGGTGTCTGGGATGCTCGTGGTGGTCCCCAGGATGGTCGTGGTGGTCTCTGAGGAGGTCGGGGTGGTCTCTGATGTGGTTGTGGAGGTCACTGAGGTGGTTGTGGATGTCTCTGGAATGGTCGTGGTGGTCCCTGAGGTCGTGGAGGTCCCTGAGGAGGTTGGGGTGACCCCTGAGGTGGTTAGAGTGGCTTCTGAGGTGGCTGTGGAGGTCTCTGAGGTCGTTGTGGAGGTTACTGTGGTGGTCAGGGTGGCCCCTGAGGTGGTCCTTGGTGTCGCTGAGGTGGTTGTGGTCATTCCTGATGTGGCTGAGGTGGTCCCTGAGGTGGTTGGGAAGGTCCCAGTGGTGGTTGGAGTGGCCTGTGTGGCGGTCGTGGAGGTCCCTGGGGTGCTCGTGGTGGTCTCTGAGGTTGTGGTGACCCCAGAGGAGGTCGGGGTGGTCTCTGATGTGGTTGTGGAGGTCACTGAGGTGGTCGTGGATGTCTCTGGAATGGTCGTGGTGGTCCCTGAGGTCGTTGGGAAGGTCCCAGTGGGGGTTGGAGCGGCCCCTGAGGGGGTCGTGGAGGTCTCTGTGCTGGTCGTGGTGGTTCCTGATGTGGCTGAGGTGGTCCCTGAGGTGGGTGGGAAGGTCCCAGTGGGGGTTGGAGCGGCCCCTGAGGGGGTCGTGGAGGTCTCTGTGCTGGTCGTGGTGGTTCCTGATGTGGCTGAGGTGGTCCCTGAGGTGGGTGGGAAGGTCCCAGTGGTGGTTGGAGGGGCCTGTGTGGCGGTCGTGGGGGTCCCTGAGGTCGTGGAGGTCACTGACGTGGTTGGGGTGGTCCCTGGGGTGGCCGTGGAGGTCTCTGAGATGGTCGTGGTGGTCGCTGGGGTCGGGGTGGTCCCTGAGGTCGTTGGGAAGGTCCCAGTGGTGGTTGGAGCGGCCCCTGAGGTGGTCGTGGAGGTCTCTGTGCTGGTCGTGGTGGTTCCTGATGTGGCTGAGGTGGTCCCTGAGGAGGTTGGGGTGGTCCCTGAGGTGGTGGTGGGCTCAGAGGAGGTCGGGGTGGTCTCTGATGTGGTTGTGGTGGTCCCTGAGGTCGTGGAGGTCCCTGGGGTGGGCATGGAGGTGTCTGGGATGCTCGTGGAGGTCCCTGGGGTTGTTGTGGTGGTCCCAGAGGAGGTCGGTGTGGTCTCTGATGTGGCTGTGGAGGTCACTGAGGGTGTCGAGGTCTCTGGGATGGTCGTGGTGGTCGCTGAGGTGGTTGGAGGGGCCCCTGAGGAGGTTGGGGTGGGCGCTGAGGTGGTTGTGGAGGACTCTGAGGTGGTTGGGAAGGTCCCGGTGGTGGTCGTGGGGGTCTCTGGGGTGGTTGTGGTGGTTCCTGATGTGGCTGAGGTGGTCACTGGGGTGGTCGTGGTGGTCCCAGAGGAGGTTGGTGTGGTCACTGAGGTGGGTGTGGAGGTCGCTGAGGTTGTCGAGGTCTCTGAGATGGTCGTGGTGGTCACTGACGTGGTGGAGGAGATTGCTGAGGTGGCTGTGCTGGTCTCTGGGGTGATTGGGGTGGTCACTGAGGAGGTCGGGGTGGTCCCTGAGGTCGTGGTGGACACTGGGGAGGTCGGCGAGGTCACTGGGATGCTCGTGGTGGTCCCAGAGGAGGTCGGGGTGGTCTCTGATGTGGTCGCGATGGTCTCTGAGGGGGTCGGGGTGGTCCCTGGGCTGTTTGTGGTGGTCCCTGAGGTCGTGGAGGTCCCTGAGGTGGTTGTGGAGGTGTCTGGGATGCTCGTGGAGGTCCCCTGGACGGTCGTGGTGGTCCCTGAGGAGGTTGTGGTGGTCTCTGATGTGGTTGTGGAGGTCACTGAGGTGGTCGTGAACGTCCCTGGAATGGTCGTCGTGGTCCCTGGGGTGGTTGGGAAGGTCCCAGTGATGGTCGCAGTGGCCTGTGGGGTGGTTGTGGAGGTCTCTGTGTTGGTCGCTGAGGTGGTTGGAGTGGCCCCTGAGGAGGTCGGGGTGGTCCCTGGGGTGTTTGTGGTGGTCCCTGAGGTCGTGGAAGTCACAGGGGTGGTCGTGGAGGTGTCTGGGATGCTCGTGATGGTCCCTGAGGTGGTCGGGACGGTCGTGGTGGTCCCTGAGGAGGTTGTGGTGGTCTCTGATGTGGTTGTGGAGGTCACTGAGGTGGTCGTGAACGTCCCTGGAATGGTCGTCGTGGTCCCTGGGGTGGTTGGGAAGGTCCCAGTGATGGTCGCAGTGGCCTGTGGGGTGGTTGTGGAGGTCTCTGTGTTGGTCGCTGAGGTGGTTGGAGTGGCCCCTGAGGAGGTCGGGGTGGTCCCTGGGGTGTTTGTGGTGGTCCCTGAGGTCGTGGAAGTCACAGGGGTGGTCGTGGAGGTGTCTGGGATGCTCGTGATGGTCCCTGAGGGGGTCGGGGTGGTCCCTGAGGTCGTGGAGGTCACTGGGGAGGTTGGGGTGGCCCCTGGGGTGGTGGTGGAGGTCTCTGGGATGGTTGTGGTGGTCTCTGAGGTGGTCGAGGAGGTCACTGGGGTGGTCAGGGTTGTCCCTGATGTGGTGGAGGGGGTTTCTGAGGTGGTCATGGTGGCCACTGGGATGCTCGTGGTGGTCCCAGAGGAGGTTGGGGTGGTCCCAGTTGTCACGGTCTCTGGGATGGTCGTGGTGGTCTCTGAGGTGGTCGAGGAGGTCACTGGGGTGGTCAGGGTGGTCCCTGGGGTCGTAGATACTGAGGAGGTTGGGGTTGTCGCTGGAGTGGTTGTGGAGGTCTCTGGGGTGACTGGGGTGGTCCCTGAGGTGGTTGAGGTGGTCCCTGGGGTGCTCGGGGTGGTCCCTGAGGTCGTGGAGGTCACTGACGTGGTTGGAGGGGCCCCTGAGGAGGTTGGGGTGGTCCCTGGGGTGGTCGTGGAGGACTCTGAGGTGGTTGGGAAGGTCCCAGTGGTGGTTGGAGTGGCCCCTGGGGTGGTCGTGGAGGTCTCTGTGCTGGTCATGGTGGTTCCTGATGTGGCTGAGGTGGTCCCTGAGGTGGTTGGGGTGGTCCCTGGGGTTGTGGAGGTCCCTGGGGTGGGTGTGGAGTTGTCTGGGATGCTCGTGGTGGTCCCTGGGAAGGTCGTGGTGGTCTCTGATGTGGTCGTGGAGGTTGCTGAGGTTGTGGAGGTCTCTGGAATGGTTGTGGTGGTCTCTGAGATGGTTGTGGTGGCCACTGACGTGGTGGAGGAGATTGCTGAGGTGGCTGTGGTGGTCTCTGGGGTGATTGGGGTGGTCCCAGAGGAGGTCGGGGTGGTCTCTGACATGGTCGTGATGGTCTCTGGGGTGGTCGTGGTGGCTCCTGATGTGGCTGAGGTGGTCTCTGAGGAGGTTGCGGTGGTCTCTGATGTGGTTGTGGAGATCCCTGAGGTTGTGGAGGTCCCTGTGGTGGTCGTGGATGTCACAGAGGTGGTTGGTGTCATCTCTGAGGAGGTCGGGGTGGTCCCTGAGGTCGTGGTAGATACTGAGGAGGTTGGGGTGGTTCCTGTTGTGGTTGTGGAGGTCTCTGGGATCGTCGTGGTGGTCCCTGAGGTGGTTGGGAAGGTCCCAGTGGTGGTCGGGGTGGCCCCTGGGGTGGTCGTGGAGGTCTCTGTGCTGGTCGTGGTGGTCCCTGAGGTCGTGGTGGTCCCAGAGGAGGTCGGGGTGGTCACTGAGGTGGTCGGGGAGGTCTCTGGGATGGGCGTGGTGGTCCCTGAGGTGGTCGAGGATGTCGCAGAGGTGGTTGGTGTAATCTCTGAGGAGGTTGGGGTGGTCCCTGAGGTGGTCGGGAAGGTTCCAGTGGTGGGTGGAGTAGCCCCTGGAGTGGTCGTGGTGGTCCCTGAGGTGGTGGTGGACACTGAGGAGGTCGGGGTGGTCCCTGTGGTGGGCGTGGAGGTGTCTGGGGTGCTCGGGGTGGTCTCTGTGATGTTCAGGGTGGTCTCTGAGGAGGTCAGGGTGGTCCCTGGGCTGCTCGGGGTGGTCTCTGTGATGTTCAGGGGGGTCTCTGGGGTGCTCAGGGTGGTCCCTGGGGTGCTGGGGGTGGTCTCTGTGATGTTCAGGGTGGTCCCTGGGGTGCTCGGGGTGGTCCCTGTGATGTTCAGGGGGGTCTCTGGGGTGCTGGGGGTGGTCCCTGGGGTCTCCATGGTTGCCGTTCTCCCCGATGTCCCCTCCCGATGTCCCCTCACCTGTGAGAGCGCAGGTCAGGACCACCAGGACCCTCCCCAATGTCCCCTTGTCCCCTCCTCATCCTCACCTGTGATGGCACAGGTGAGGACCACCAGGTGACCACCACCAGGACCCTCCCCTTGTCCCCTCCCGATGTCCCCTCACCTGTGACGGCGCAGGTCAGGACCACCAGGACCCTCCCCGCTGTCCCCCCCGCCATGGCCACGTCCTGTCCCCAACTGGGGCCGGAGCCAGCGGTGACAGGGACAATATCGGGGGTGGGGGGGACAGGGGGTGGCCCCGGACCTTTGTCCCCTGGGGAGGCGCAGGTGGGCGGGGGGTGACAGGCGGTGACACACGCAGGTGACACACGCAGGTGACACACGCAGGTGACACACACGCCGGAGAATGTGGCGGCCGCGCCCCGCGCCCGGAGCTTCCTCCATCCAGCGGTGTCACCGCGCGGGGACACGGGAGGGGGGACAGGGGACACGGGGGTGGCACCGGGATCGGGGGGGACACCGGGGTGGGGACAGGAGGGGACACCCGGATTGGTGGGCTGGGGGACATGGAGGTGGCACCGAGATCCGTGGGGACACAGAGGTGGGGACGAGGACATGGAGGTGGCCTGGTGGCCATGAGGGACACGGGGATGGGGACATTGGGGTGGCACCAGGATCAGCGGGGACACGGACATGGAGGTGGCCTGGTGGCCTTGAGTGACACCGGGATGGGGACACTGAGATGGGGGGGGACACAGGGATGGGGACATGGAGGTGGCACTGACATCAGGGGGGACACGGGGGTGGGGACAGGAGGGGACACCCGGATTGGTGGGCTGGGGGACATGGAGGTGGCACCGAGATCCGTGGGGACACAGAGGTGGGGACGAGGACATGGAGGTGGCCTGGTGGCCATGAGGGACACGGGGATGGGGACATTGGGGTGGCACCAGGATCAGCGGGGACACGGACATGGAGGTGGCCTGGTGGCCATGAGGGACATGGGACTGTCACCAAGATCCATGGGGACACGGGGATGGGGACATTGGGGTGGCACTGAGATCCATGGGGACACAGGGACGGGGACAAGGACATGGAGGTGGCCTGGTGGCCATGAGGGACACCGGGATGGGGACACTGAGGTGGCACTGACATCCATGGGGACACAGGGATGGGGACAAGGACATGGTCGTGGCCTGGTGACATCAGGGACAGAGGGATGGGGACATGGAGGTGGCACCGAGATCCATGGGGACACGGGGATGGGGACACTGAGGTGGGACTGACATCCGTGGGGACACACGGATGGGGACAAGGACATGGTCGTGGCCTGGTGACATCAGGGACAGAGGGATGGGGACATGGAGGTGGCACCGAGATCCATGGGGACACGGGGATGGGGACATGGGAGTGTCACCAAGATGAGGACACAGGGACGGGGACATTGAGGTGGCACTGAGATCCGTGGGGACACCGGGGTGGGGACAAGGACATGCTCCATCCAGCGGTGTCACCGCGCGGGGACACGGGAGGGGGGACAGGGGACACGGGGGTGGCACCGGGATCGGGGGGGACACCGGGGTGGGGACAGGAGGGGACACCCGGATTGGTGGGCTGGGGGACATGGAGGTGGCACCGAGATCCGTGGGGACACAGAGGTGGGGACGAGGACATGGAGGTGGCCTGGTGGCCATGAGGGACACGGGGATGGGGACATTGGGGTGGCACCAGGATCAGCGGGGACACGGACATGGAGGTGGCCTGGTGGCCATGAGGGACATGGGACTGTCACCAAGATCCATGGGGACACGGGGATGGGGACATTGGGGTGGCACTGAGATCCATGGGGACACAGGGACGGGGACAAGGACATGGAGGTGGCCTGGTGGCCATGAGGGACACCGGGATGGGGACACTGAGGTGGCACTGACATCCGTGGGGACACAGGGATGGGGACAAGGACATGGTCGTGGCCTGGTGACATCAGGGACAGAGGGATGGGGACATGGAGGTGGCACTGAGATTGGGGGGGACACCGGGGTGGGGACAGGAGGGGACACCCGGATTGGGGGGATGGGGGACTTGGAGGGGGCACCGAGACCCATGGGCACACGGGGATGGGGACATGGGGGGGCACTGAGATCCATGAGGCCACAAGGATGGGGACAAGGACATGGAGGTGGCCTGGTGGCCTTGAGGGACACGGGGATGGGGACATGGGGGGGCACTGAGATCCATGAGGCCACAAGGATGGGGACAAGGACATGGAGGCGGCACCGAGATCCATGGGGACACGGGGATGGGGACAGGAGGGGACACCCAGATTGGTGGGGACATGGGGATGGGGACAAGAAAGTGTCCTAGTGGCCATCAGGGACACGGGGATGGGGACATGGGGTGGCACTGAGATCCATGAGGCCACAAGGATGGGGACAAGGACATGGAGGTGGCCTGGTGGCCATGAGTGACACGGGGGTGGGGACAGGGAGGTGGCCTGGTGGCCTTGAGGGGCACAGGGATGGGGACATGGGAGTGTCACCAAGATGAGGACACGGGGATGGGGACATTGGGGTGGCACCGAGATCCGTGGGGACACAGGGATGGGGACAAGGACATGGAGGTGGCACTGAGATCCATGGGGACACAAGGATGGGGACAAGGACATGGAGGTGGCCTGGTGGCCTTGAGGGACACGGGGATGGGGACAGGGAGGTGGCACTGAGATCCATGGGGACACAAGGATGGGGACAAGGACATGGAGGTGGCCTGGTGGCCTTGAGGGACACGGGGATGGGGACAGGGAGGTGGCACTGAGATCCATGGGGACACAAGGATGGGGACAAGGACATGGAGGTGGCCTGGTGGCCTTGAGGGACACGGGGATGGGGACAGGGAGGTGGCACTGAGATCCATGGGGACACAAGGATGGGGACAAGGACATGGAGGTGGCCTGGTGGCCTTGAGGGACACGGGGATGGGGACAGGGAGGTGGCACTGAGATCCATGGGGACACAAGGATGGGGACAAGGACATGGAGGTGGCCTGGTGGCCTTGAGGGACACGGGGATGGGGACAGGGAGGTGGCACTGAGATCCATGGGGACACCGGGACATGGAGGTGGCCTGGTGGCCATGAGGGACACTGACGGGTCACTGGGGACACAGGGGGGACATGGAGGTGTCCTGGTGGCATCAGGGACACGGGGGCCATGGGGACATGGGGATGGGGACAAGGACATGGAGGTGGCCTGGTGACATCAGGGACACGGGGGTGGGGACACTGAGGTGCCACAGGGGTCACTGGGGACACTGAGGGGTCCTGGTGGCCTCTGGGGACATCGGGGGGTCCCAGGGGTCACCGGGGTCACAAGGGGGTGGTGGCACAAAGGGGACGCGGGGTCAGTGCCACCTCACCAGTTCTCTGGTGACCCAAACTGGGCGGACTGGGAACTGCTGGGACCTCAACTGGGGAGGGGTCGTGGGCCTGGGGGTCCCTCTGAGCTCTCCCAGTGCCTCCCAGTACATCCCAGTGCCCTCCCAGTATGTCCCAGTATCTTCTGGTGGCCACCAGGTTTCCCCAGTCCCCTCCCAGTACATCCCAGTATGTCCCAGTGCCCTCCCAGTACATCCCAGTATTCCCAGTCCCCTCCCAGTACATCCCAGTATGTCCCAGTGCCCTCCCAGTACATCCCAGTATCTCCCAGTGCCCTCCCAGTACATCCCAGTATCTCCCAGTGCATCCCAGTGCCCTCCCAGTATATCCCAGTATGTCCCAGTCCATTCCAGTGCCCTCCCAGTATCTTCCAGTGCCCTCCCAGTACATCCCAGTATGTTCCAGTGCCCTCCCAGTACATCCCAGTGTCTCCCCGGGGGTTTCCCCATGACGTCGCCCTCCCGTGGGGGAGGGGCGGGTGACCCTTGGCCGGCGGCCACGGAGGGGGCGGGGCCACACCTGGGGACACACCTGGGGACACACCTGGGGACACACCTGGGGACACACCTGGGGACACGTCAGCGGCGGGAACCGCGACACGTGGGGGACACACCTGGGGGGGCGGGGCCACACCTGGGGACAACGACACACCTAAAATTCCCCCAAAATTCCCCCAAAATTCCCCCAAAATTCCCCTAAAATTCCCCCAAAATTCCCCTAAAATTTCCCCAAAATTCCCCTAAAATTCCCCCAAAATTCCCCTAAAATTCCCCCAAAATTTCCCTCCAAATTTGTCCCAGATTCCTCAAAATCCCCCCAAAGTTCCCCTAAAATTCCCCAAAAAATTGCCCCTAAAATTCCCTTAAAATTCCCCTAAAATTCCCACAAAATTTTCCCCAATCTCCCCTAAAAATTCCCCCAAAATTCCCCTAAAAATCCCACAAAATTCCCCTAAAATTCCCACAAAATTCTCCCAAATTCCCCCAAAAATTCCCCCAACATTCCCCTAAAAATCCCCCAAATTCTTCAAAATTCCCCCCAAATTTGTCCCAGAATCCTCAAAATCCCCCCCAAATTTAACCTAAAATTCCCCCAAAGTTGTCCCCAAATTCCCCTAAAATTCCCCAAAAATTTCCCAAAATTCCCCCAAAATTCCTCCGAAATTCCCCTAAAAATCAAAAAAATTCTTCAAAAACTCCCCCAAATTTGTCCCAGAATCCTCCAA